CCACGGGCGCCCAGCACCCAGCACCCACGCTCACTGGATGAGGCGAGCGGGTGCAGGCTGCCCCGGCATCCCAGAAATGACAGCAACAAGGGCTGAGCCCGACCCAAGCTTCCGCAAGCCAAGGGGCAAACCCGCGCAACACCCAGAGGCCACAACACCCCGGCACAGCCACCAATGGCCCTGTCCCAGGGACGGTCCCCAAGAGTCCCCAGGGCAGGGAGAGCATCTCCATGGGGCACACGCGGTCAGCTTGGCCACGGGGACAGCGTTCTCTGTCGTGCACTGGGACAGCCCGGCCACCGTCCCCCCGGCACGGCCCCGTCCCAGCTTACCTCTGAGATCTTCTGGAACTGGTAGTTGCTCTGGCTGCACTTCTCCGCAGTCTCCAGCGCGATTTTGTAGTTATCCACAAAGGCCTTGTAGACCCCCAGCTGGCTGGCCTGCAGGGAGCGGGGGTTAGCCGGGCATCCGCTGGGATGCTGAAGGCCCCCCACAATGTGAGGGGCCAAGCAGCCACCAAGGGGACACTGCCCAGAGCTGTCCCCTCCTGGCAGGACACTCTGCCAGACCATAGCCAGCTGGGGGGGCCGCACGCCTGGCCCTGCAGGGAAAGCCCTTGCCCAAGGCAGGATAGTGGGGCTCCCACCCAGCCCTGTGCTCCCACAAACCTCCGAAATCCAGCAGAGAGCCAACGGGTGTCTGGACAGCAAGGGCTGAAGCTACAGCACACTTCAACCTGCTCTCTCCTCCTCCCCTCCCTGACATGGCCACGGCACCCATGGGCACAGCCTGTCCGAAGCAGCAGCGGCAGGACCCGGAGCGTGACCCTGGGGAGTCACCACCGCGGCACCCGCAGGCAGCCAGGGGTGAAGAGGCAGCGCTCCCCTGCCTCTCCCCAGAGGCTCACCCACACACCCAGGCTACCGTCAGCCCCGCGGCAAAGCCACACCACACATCTCCAGCCAAAACCCTGCCACGGTCGCACCCAGGACCTGCCAGCTGTGAGTGTCCCCACTGTGGAGAGGGGCACGGAGGCTGCACTATCTCCCATCCCGGGATGGGAGGACTCGGGCAGGCGGCAGTGGCGGCTGCAGGGAGGGATGCAACAAGTCCCACAGTAAGCACGTGGCAGCGTGTGAGCTGA